TACAATTATATAATATTGTGATAATATTAATAATATGATATATTCGATGTTTTGAATAAAAATGATTGCCTAACCTTCCGCATTAAAATAAATACATTGAGTACAATAAATTCGTAGTAGGTAACAAGCCGAGGTATCCACGAATAAGTATTTTTATTGCACATTTAATTAATACTACCTACTCGATTTCGATCGAATATGAAATATCTGACGCTTATTTAAATCATACATTCTCTATCATCGACATACCTAATATTATTACTGATTTGCATAGTTCTTAATTATTTAACGATAATGTGTACATAGTCAACATTGTGAGTATTATGGAGGTGCTTAATATATTTTGTTTAAAACGGTAACTCGATTGTAAGCCCAAGACATACGAGTAATTTTATATAAATCAATGTCGAAAATATTTTTAATGGAAGTTATATTGACGTTATAAGACGCGGTATAGGTACATTGTTATTAGTGCAAATCGCTGAATATAATATTCTTATCGTTTCCTCGCATCATTCGTCATTATAATTAAAAACTCACATAATATTTTGATCAGAAGAAATGCATATTGTTGAACTACTTCTATTTTATACTAATATTATTAAGATTATACAAAATATTATACCATATTATTTTTAAAAATGAATTTTTAAGTAGGTATATAAATATTATAAATAAATATAATTAAAAATACACACACGCAAATAATATTAAATATAATTAAAGGGTTAAAAATCTAGTGGTTACTCTACCGGATTGGGCCAACATTTCGTGTTAGGTACATACAAATTTAAAAAATACATTTAATTGTACAATAATTATCAGGTTAATATTATTAATTAGTCTTCAAATTAAATGTAAAAAGTAATGGTATAAAATTATTTTGGATACAGCTGATTAATTATAATTATTGATAAGATATGGTGATAATCTATTAAGTCAGTTTTTCCAGGCATAATATTATATAGGTACTCCAAGGTTTCGTCCGTGTACATTTTAATACAACAACACCATATTATATTGTATGTCGGCACTTTTATAACTGTTGGTTTTTATTTCGGTAATAGTGAACTTTGTTGTTTAAAGGACCATCCAACTCAAAAAATCAATAATTATTTTTTTACTCAAATAAATAGAATAGAGTCTAACTAATATAATGATACAAATAAAATTCGTTTGTGACTATTCGTTCGCTAGTCACTGTGACTTATGACATTGCGCGTGACGTCACGGATTCGTCCGCCGAGGCGGCGGCCATATATAATACACGGCAATATTTATCCATTTTTGGTTTAACATAAAATAACTGCTTATGAACTTATTTTTTTTCGAATGAACTAATCAAATGTATTCAAGAGTACCTCATAATCTTTCCATTCGTATAATTATATCACATTTTGGTTTAATAGTGTAGACAAAAATAACTCTTAAATAAATTGTTTTATGAATTTACCATACTGGCTACTGCTGCTGCAGTAAACGTGTGTAATATTGTTTTGACGATCGTGACATCGTGTATGGATTTCTGACGCCTAAACTGTCTATATAGTTTTAACTCGTAGCTAATATTAGAGATGGTTGAGGCTTTCTTATTATTATCCAACTATTTTAACATAAAATCTTATCACGGTACGGGGCAGCGACGGAGGCATATATGAATATCTAGTAGGGCAGTGGCTATAATTATTATTAATTGTCTGATAATATTTTTATCCATCGTGGCATAATATTTTATTAGTCATCAATGATTTGTTCTAAACATTTTTCTAACGAAGATTTTAATGAATCCGACTTATTACGTGAAAAACTTATGCCCGACACTAAAGTAATTGTAAGATTAAAACCCAGTTTTCCCTACCATTTTTAGTACTCAAAAAAATATTTCTATCGCTTCAACTACTAGTGATTCAAATAGAGAGGAAAGAATTTAGAGGGAAAAATAGATGGTCGTAGAATTATTAAAAACTAGCACACCAAAAAAAAAAAAATGTACATGATGAAGTTTTTGATGACGAAAATGTTGATGACGATTTCATAAATATAAATTTTAGTTTGATTTCTGTATGTTCAAGACAAAGTTATGCTGATTGCTGACACTGTTAATGATAAGGGCATCCAATGTGAAATTTACCGTTGTCAAGATAGTGCAGGTGATTATGATAAGTCGTTCAACTATTTGTCCGATGAAAATAGCTCCTCTGAAGATGATACAGATGTTTATTATTTCATTAATATTAAACCAAAATTCAATATAATTATACGAATAGAAAGGTACTCTTAAATACATTTGGTAAGGTTATTCGCAAAAATATAAGTTTATTAGCAGTTACTTTACGTTAAACCAAAAACGGATAAACATTGCTGTGTATTGTATATGGCCGCCGCCGCGACGAACGAATCCGTGACGTCACGCGCAATGCACGCGCAATCGCTTAACTAGCGAACGGACAGTCACAAACGAATTTTAGTGGTATCATTTTTTTCGTCAAAGTTTGTACTTCAATTTAAGCCTGAGAAAATTTTTTGAGTTGGATGGTCCTTTAATTATTCTACAAACAAAAAACTGATAGAAATTTCAAAACATTAAATAAAGAATACATAAAAGTAATCAAACCAAAAAACAAACTCACTGTAACTCAAATTTCACAAAAAAAGTATCGAAATCAACCACAACATACATATTATTACAGAAACAGATAACACAATATTTTAAACAGACAAAATAATACATACATAAAGACCGTACTAAAATAGCTACACTTACCTACACAAAAAGTTAAGTACCTAATGTAATAGTGTATTAATAATATTGTAGACAAAGAAACCGACTGAAACAATTTTATTTTTCAATACCTATAGTTCAATATTGAGTTTTAAATAATATGAATAATAACATGATTATATCGTCATATTATCTTATCGATAAATAATTTTATATTAATACTTTTTCGAATTAATTGTATGTTTATACATTTGTATAATTTATGGAATTTTGATTTACTGTCTTTAGAATATTAATTTTGGTGTTTCACTGGACTTACTTAATATATTATGTTTATTTTTAATGGGCATGCTACATTATATTATCTTCCACCAATAGTCCACCATTATAGGTGTGAATAGATTCCACAAGTTGGGAGTCAGTCAAGGTTTTTTTTTTATGAAATCCTAGAAATGTTGATGGGGGAGAGTAGTGGGGGTAAAAATGTATAGTTAGCTTAGACCCTTTTTTCTTTTCTTTCCATGACTATCGCTGCATCGCAATTAAATTTTTAGTTTTCAATTCAGTCGTGTTATTCCAACTTTGAGCTACGGTTTATTTATTTTTCGTTTTTACTGTTCAGTATTTTGTTTATCACTGTGCACGGTTGTAGAAACTCGTGCATAAACACTCGAAACGCATCCATGTGAACGGTGAGCAACACCGCAATAGTCACTTACAAATGTAATATAAATATAATATAATGTACACTGAGTGTTACGATATTATTATTATACGTATCATCGTGGCGAATGCGTTGTAATAAATGTTTACTGAAATAATTTGCTCAAACTAACGAATTTCCTGACCTAGATCATATAATATTATAATACATTACGAACGCGGTAGAATGGCCAATACTGCAGCTGATTTTATTACTATAGTGGTCGGCCGTCCAAAAACGAAACACACCCACACAGCAATGAAATATTGTTCACATATATACATATAATATGCAGTTGTAACTACCACTTTTAATATTTTGCAGGAGAGCCAGCTTACGTGCTGTGTTCTGTATATTGTAATAATAGTGTAACGTGGTCGGGGGAACAACCTATTGTTGCGATATTAGTTATCCTGCAGAGAAGGTTTTCTCTTCCTTATGGATAAGTTTTCCGTAGCCGGGGGTTAGAGCACTGTGTATGAAGTATTTTATCAATATTACGACACGCTTGGTATCTACTATAGTAATTATTATATTAAAAATAATACTTTACTGAACATGTAGATGGCTGCTGATAAGTGTATAATATATAGGTGAGTTCGTTCCTGTTGATGGTTATTGTCGAACTAACTGCCGTATGTAATTTTCATAATAAGTAATATAATATATAATATAGAGGACGGAATGGCCGAGCGAACTAAGGCGTCTGTTGCGACGCCCACCGTCGCCGGTTCGAAACCCGGCCACGGGGGGCCCTTCTCTTCGGGCAGTCACGGTGTCTGGAGAGAGAGGCCGCCACCCCCACCCGAGCATGGCATATACCTACTGGTGCCCACTAGAAAATTCTGCCAAACTAACAAACACACGTTAAGTATGAACCCGGCTTTATGTGCACGTAAATGTAACCACACGGTCAAAAGTTGAATATATTCAACTATGTGGTATCATTTGGTAACTGTGGTAACCGTGGTTATTTTACCCGACATGGTGTAGTATGAACCCCCCTTAATTAATAATTGTTCATAGGTCTCTATTCGCAAAAGCCGGTTCGCGCTATAGAGCGGCGGGGAGTGGGGTCAATCTACATCTTTCTATGCCTTATCGGACCCGTGACCAAAATATCATACTGTCACCGTCGGAATTGGCACCGAACAGTGTGTGTGTTTAGTGCATAACATATCGAAAAGAAGGTCGTATCTCCGTTTTGACAAAAATTTTTCTTCTTCAAGATGTCATAACTGTTTTTGTGTAGTTCCCGCGAGGACGGTAGTAATAATAATATTGCATTTTACTGTATAGAACGTCTTTGATTGTTTTACGCTACCATCAGTTTCGCGGGAACTACACAAAAACAGTTATGAGAACTTGGAAATAAAAAAAAATGTGAGAACAGAGATACGACTTTCTTCGCTGCGGCTGGCGATATAATATAAGGTGTAACGAATGTTATAATAGTACTGTGTAATATTCTTCTTACTAGGTAACATTATATTACTATTATTATTATTATTATTATGGTTTCAAACGGAAATCAACTTTATTTTTGCAGAAAACATTTCGACGACGGAAACTGCGATGGACGTGAATTTGATCGAAGAAAACCATCATCAGCACGAAGTCGGATCGAAATGGTCGCCACTGTTCGAGGACGGACCCGGGCCCATCAACGTCACCGCCCGTATCGGGTCCACGGTGCAATTGAACTGTAAAATCCAACTACTCTACGATAAAACGGTATGTAAATCCCAAGCATAATTCACTTAACACTACCCGAGTCCCGGTATATAGTCTGCACTCGTAAGCTCTATAATACTATTAAATCATTTCGAGTCGTATATCATCATAGCTGCAGCAGCCGTATATATATATATATGGTATCTATGGATGCAGTGGCGTATTTAGGAATTTTGCTAGGGGGGGGATGAAATATATAATAATACATCCTAACACCCATAAATCCGTACATAATATACATTTTTAAAATCCCCTAACTTGTTACCTATTGAGGTTAGTGTGGATCAAGGCAAAATAAAAATTAACACAAATAATATATAAGTACCTAATAGCATTTATTATAAGTTCATACTAGCACCAATCCCGTGTTTAATACGATAAAAAAAAAAATAATAATAATAATAATAATAAAATATATATATATATATATAATATATAGTTTTAATATAGTATAATTTATAATTTTAATTAATTATTTTATTAATTTTTATAATTACCTCATCATTTTCCAAACAAATTTTTTTATTTGTACTAAAATAAGAAAATAAAGTGTTTTTTTGTTTTTGAGTATTACTCATATTGTATTATTGTCTTAAAACTTCACAGTTACAACTAACAAGACGAAAAAAATAAAAGTCGAACAATAGTTAATTCGGCAGTAAGTCAGTACTCGGAATGGCGTCGCTACTCGCTATCCGTCAACGTCCAACGACCGTAAATATCTACTTTTCACAAATCACGATATCATACGATAAAATATAATGTAATAATAATATCTATAATCGCTATACATTAGCGATTAGCCATAATTCATAAATCTACTAGTAACAAATTTTCTAAAAATAAACCCGGCCTATGGTTAATCCACGGTATTCATGGTCATTTTGTTTTGTTTACCGATTGCTTATCGGGTTTATTATAAACACTCTTGCATGAAAAATAATTCGCAGAAACGTACAAAATACAGTACACCATAATATAGGTATAGTTATTGTTGCCTGATAGTCGTACATGCCGCCAACGATTAGTGGCGATTAGTATATCAGACTATCAGAGCAGTACAATTACTACAATTACCACGACTAGAACATTTATTAAACATACATGCTTGAAAGTAATTTCACTTATAATTATATCATATTAAGAATATTAGAGAAAATGAGACAACTTAGCTAGTTAGCTACCTAGGAAAAAAAAAAAGGTCAAGGGGGGGATCTATCCCCCATATCCCCCCCCGTAAATACGCCACTGTATGGATGCCTAACATAATCGTTATTAAATCATTTCAGTTTTTAGTGTTTATATTATTATTATTATTATTATTATTATGTATAAATGATACACTGCAGTTTAAATTCGAATAATTTGATTTTGAATTTACTACTCGGTCGGCCGGAATGTTTTTTAATTAATTTAATTTTCTTTTTTTTGCATTTTCATAACTAATAACTAGGTTCCTAATTAAAAATGATTACGTAATCGCTATCGATAATATTTAGATGGTATTAGATAATTGTAAAAATATAACTGTTGATAAAAATATCACGGAGTATAGGTACTCTATACCTTGGCATTTTATTTATTTGTCGCAGTTTGCAGTATAAGCAAACAATTTAAACTTAAATATTAATTACCCACTGAATTCAATTGATTAGATGTTATGAATAAATCTAACTAGGTAGCCTCACTAAATTTTCGAACGACAGTTTGGAAACCAAAACCAAATATCATATTAATAAATAAAATAAGGTGGATTTTACATCATGGCCTCGACGTAACACTAATATACAGTGTGTAAACGGTAATCGAGAACACTCAATATCTTTGCGTAGAGACCTGCTATTTGAATTCCGTTTTTTTGGCAGTTGTTATGACATAAAAATACACATTTTTATGGTCTTTGAATTTTTTTTACTTAATTAGTCACGCGCATGAGCATGTCAACTTTTTTTTTTTAAATGGCAACCCCCTGCTTTAACCACTACTTATTTTTTGCCTATTTTTTTAATGAATTTTGGTAGTTGAATCAACTTTCTAAGTCCAAAATTGACCAAGTTACAGCCAATCAAAAAAAAGAAAAATTAGAAAAAAAATGCGCTCGATTTTCAGCTTTTTGATTTTAACTCTGAAAAGAATTATTTTAGGATTGTTAAACATTGAAATTTTTGTAACTATTTATTACGGTGATATTCATAAGTTATTTTAACTTCAATTACCTACTGAATAATTTTCTCTTTAATTTGTGTAATAAATCATATAACTTATTATAGCAGAAAAAACGTAAATTAGTATGTTGTTTATTTCTTTACATTTAATGGATCTATTAGAACGTATTAATAATTATTAATTAATAACAAATTCAATTCTTATTTAAGTTACCAATTTATTTAGTTAATACAAATCTAAAAAAAAAAAAAAAATCTAACGAATAAATTGTTCAAACTGTTCTCTGCCGTGAACAAAACATGATTCAGCGCGAGAAAATTATTCAGTAATTGAAGTTAAAATAACGTATGAATATCACCGTAATAAATAATTACAAAAATGTCAATGTTTAACAATCCTAAAATAATTCTTTTCAGAGTTAAAATCAAAAAGCTGAAAATCGAGCGCATTTTTTTTCTAATTTTTTCTTTTTTTTGATTGGCTGTAACTTTGTCAATTTTGGACTTAGAAAGTTGATTCAACTACCAAAATTCATTAAAAAAATAGGCAAAAAATAATTAGTGGTTAAAGCAGGGGGTTGCCATTTAAAAAAAAAAAGTTGACATGCGCATGCGCGTGACTAATTAAGTAAAAAAAATTCAAAGATCATAAAAATGTGTATTTTTATGTCATAACAACTGCCAAAAAAACGGAATTCAAATAGCAGGTCTCTACGTAAAGATATTGAGTGTTCTCGATTACCGTTTACACACTGTATTGTAATTTACTCAATGATGAGGTAGGTACAGCAGTAGCGGAACTGAAGCTCATTTAAGGAGGGGGCGAATTGGTATCATAGAATTTCGATGTGTACATATTAGTCAATAAACATATAAAAACATATAAAAAAAACTAAACCGTATAAAAATTCAACAGTCTATATTAAATAAACAAATGTATTAATAATTTATTTGAGCAACAATTGTATGGTTCTTTTTTACCAGCCGCAAATCTGTCCACGAACAATGAAAATAAAGTATTCAGCACTCAATATTAAAATTGAGTTATTTAAAACAGTCCAGTGAACAAAATATTTAATTTATTTTATAAAAATGAAGTGATAACAGATTTGATGGTAGGAAAAAAAGTCTCGGGGAAAAAAAGTCCCGGGAAAAACGTATCCGGAAAATAAGTCTCAAGTCCTAGGGGGGGGGGTTAATCGCCACTTCGCCCCCCCCCCCTCAAATCATCCACTGAGGTACAGTCAACATAACTACTGAAGGCTTATACCTACTTCCTATTTGTATAATTAATTACCTATCTATACTATCTCTCAGTCTATTTAATTTACAATTAAATGTTAAAAAAAACACACACACACGAATAAATACGTAAGTCGAATTATATCAGAATCAGTACCACATATTTTCTCGGCATAAAATATAAATACTGTACAAATAGAACTTGACCAAATTAAATTGTGTAACCCGATAGTGATTTATACGCAGCGGAAGTCAGTGAAATTAAACAAAGTACCGTCATGGGAATATTATACGAGAAAACTCATATATTCTACTGTAGGTAATAAACATTTATTTTACTGTTGAAACGACGGCGGTTTAACCATTTTCATATTCTTTTTCATACCCTCATTATAAATGTGTGGTTATTGCAAAACTGCAGCTCGACGTTTGATTTGGACATATAGTGAGCTGTCGCTATAGGGTTTTTCCAGACGCTGTATGGAAGTTGAATAACAACTCAGATGAAAGTTTTCCAAAGACCGAAACTTTATCAATCACAACGTTGGCGGCTAGAGACTTTGAGGCTAGCGTGCGTTCATTATTCGTTAAACACAACATATACCTAGGTATACTCGGCTAACGCAAATTACACTGAATATTATTTTCTACGTGACTGTATTATATGTTGCCTCACTTAGTACATTTTAAAGTAATGATCATCGCAACGATAACTGTGTATACAATTTTTATTTTTCGCTTAATCCGTATTTATGCGCATCTGCATCATATAATATGCACGCACTATTATGCGAACGACTGTTTTTTTAGTTTCTGTTTTGTTTTATTTATTTATACCCATCTACGGTATGTTTCGTGCAGGTATTACTTCCATTTGGCCGCCGTTACGTTTTGTTCTTCTTACGAAATCAATTTGGTTTTATTAGTTTGGCTACCATTTGGCTGCATATGCGCCGCCGTTTTCTATATCAAACAGTCAAGCAGATGTCTCTGGGCCATTATCAAAAATATTCCCGTTTCGCAATTCCGTGTAATCTGTAATCTGAAATAGTAAATACAAAATACACACACACACACACACACACACACACACACACACACACTATTAGTCATCAATATATAATCAAAATACAACAAATCATGAAATCCATGGATATTGATAGGGAAATTCTAACAAGGCGTTTGGAGGGTTTTCTTACAATCAGTTTAAACTATAATATGATCCTTTGCACTATTTACTAAAATATAATAATATAAACATTTAATTCCTAATGATTTAATCTCAAATTTTCTTTTCCAACATTGCTCTTTAAGTGGGTAATGGCACCCGACATTTTTTTGATGTATTGCTATTTGAGAATATTATATGATACCCTTAAGACGAACAATTTCAAATAAATAAAATTGAAATAAGGAAGTTGGATGTCCATGGTACATTTTATCTTGTACTTTTAAGTTCTAAAACACATACGCTTTGTCACAAAATAGCGGTTTTCGACTTTATTAATTAGAAATTGGATTGGTCAATAAATCATTAATTAATGTTATAGTATGAGACACCGTACAATAAAGAGTTTTAGTTAAACTATTCAC